GATTCACTCCCCAATTGGCCGCATTGGCTGGAGCTGCGCTGATCCGAAGCCACGATCCAGGGGCTTCCTCCGGGTTTCCCACATGGGTGCAGGGACCCAAGGACTTAGGCCATCTTCTACTGCTTTCCCAGGCCGTAGCAGAGAGCTGGACAGGAAGAGGAGCAGCTGGGACTCTAACTGGCACCCATATGGGATGCTGGCGCTTCAGGCATATTTATTACCTGATGCACCACAATGATGGCCCCAAAAACATCATTAATAAATTAAAAATTTATATTGACAACATTTTTACAAATTTTTGTGCCACAGTGTGGCATTTCAATATATATATGCCGTGTATACTGATAAGATCAGTGTAGTAAACATTTCTCCTTCTTCGACCTTACTTTAAGACTGGGGCCTTGGAGCTCTTCTGTTTGTTCATAAAACATGCACTGGGTTATTGTGAACTAACTCCACTATGCTGTGTGGCAGTAAGAACTTACTCCTTTGCTCTAACTCTGACTTGGTATCCACTATCTGGATTCCCTCTATCCACCCTCCACATCCCAGCCTGGGATAATCGCTATTCTGCATTTAGATTGAGGTGTTTTGTTTTGTTTTTAGCTTCCACATTTGGGGGAGAATATGTGGTATTTGTCTTACTGTGTCTGTCTATGATGCTCTCCATTCTGGAAATGACAGGATTTTCTTGTTTCGTATTGCTAAATAATATCCCATTGTGTATTATTATGTCATGTACCAAACTCTGATCCGCTGATCCACCGATCATGAGAAAAGAGTCTGAGGTTTAATATAAATTTACTCAGTAAAGCCCTCAGCTGAGATATTAGCTTTGGGACAGGAATTTGTATTTAGGTTCTTGTCATATGCTCAGTGCTGTGGTCCCTAGAACAGTGGCACACTGAAATGCCTTGATAATGTTTTTGAAATCAGAAATTAAATTGATGCTATTTTTTGTCATGTGTGCATTATGATATTTATTTAGAATAAGTGCATGTTTATTTAGAGTGCTTGTTATTCAATCGCCCAGTTATATATTTACTTACACATTCATTAAGAGTCTAGGCATGCAGCACTTCAGGTTAGATATTTATAGCACAAGCTAGTTACTGTGTGAGGCCCAGATGTTCAGTGGAAATTATAGCCTTCATCAAGCATGGAGTCTGATACTTCAGATATCTCTGTGACTATATTACAAAAAGGTTTTGTAAATTGATGTGCCAAAATACACCAAGAGGTTGGGTGTTCCATTTTTATTAGTATAAGGGGTCTTCAAATACTTTATGGAAAATGTGTATTATGAAAATACTATGCCTGGGTCTCAAAAACATTTGTACCAAAATAAACTTAGCTTTTAATTCCATTTTCCATGAACTGTTTGAAGTATTCTTACATTTACAAAGCAAGCACCTCCTGGTGACTTTTTGTAAATCTTGATGTTCAGATGTGTTTACTTCAAGTGAACTGTATATTTGAGATACGCTGATCCTAGCACATTTAAAGAATTAGCAAATATTTTTAAATACTTAATTGATTTTCCCCAGTGAGGACTTGGTGTTTATAAAGCTTATAATTGTTAAAGATAAGCCACAAGAAATTATCACAGAATTTTCTAAATAAGACGCAATACATGAGAGAGCATTGGTATAACTATGTATAAGACTAATTGATCCATCACTAACATACTCCTTACTCCCTGGATGCCATCTTCTGATTAGAAATAACAAAGCATTTAATACTAATGCACTCATTCAACAAGAAAGATTCTATGGCTGTGAGATGAAGGAATTCTTCTGGCATGTCAAACTTTTAATTAGTCTTATAAAGGAAACGGCTCTAGATTTCTTGTGACTATTCAACTCTAGATTATTAAGGTCAAATCCAAATACATCTATCTTCTTATTTTAATTCCAGGAAAAGTCACAAACCTCTTTGGAGAGGGCACAATTGACCCTTCCTCTGTAATGGTCCTGGTGAATGCCATATATTTCAAAGGACAATGGCAGAACAAGTTTCAGGAAAGAGAGACAGTTAAAGCCCCTTTTCAGCTAAATGAGGTAAGTAGTTAATTTTTAGATGGAAAATTCAGAAAGGTTTAGTAAATATGGTCTTGGTTTCCATAGGTTTCTTCATTTTTGTTTTCTATGAAATTTTACTTTTTCCATATTAAGTGTCAGTAACCTTTCCCAGATTTCCTGGCAGAGAAGAACTATCCACTCTTTCCATATATATTGTTAATTTCTCAAGCAGCACAATAAAATTATCTGCCATTTTTATCCTAGAAAAACTTTAATTTGATTAAAAAAAGAAAATAATACACGTTCATTTTCCTACATGCATAATTTTTGCTAGAAATATGCTTCAGTTTTCGGTTGACTCAAGACTGTATTATTAGAATTACTTAATCTCTAGCCATGACTTACCTTCAGATTAAAAAATAATGATAACTTTTGCAAAGGGAAGAAATAAAAGGGTCCACTCATGCCTTTAGAGTGTTAATGCAGGCATTCATGTTCTACAAGAAAACAAGAACGCATACATATGCACTCACATATGTACCTCTGCAACTGTATGGCTTAATTGCAATCTTTCTATTTTTTATTGTTTAGGGCAGAAGTGTACTTGTGGAAATGATGTACCAGATGGGAACGTTTAAGCTGGCTGTCATAAAGAGGCCTCAGATGCAAGTTCTCGAGCTGCCCTACGTCAACAACAAACTAAGCATGATTATTCTGCTTCCAACAGGCACAACTAAGCTAGAACAGGTACAGTGGCCAGAATGCTGCCATCAGGGAAAGAGCCTGTGCATGTGTGTGCACATGGGCACACACGCGCTCTGTGCATCCCAAGATGTTGGTGCCGATGTTAGTCACTGAGTCACCATCTAGGTATTGCCCTAGGGAAAGCAAGAGCAAAGGGCAACACACAGTCCCTGTGCTTTGGGACAATGGACTTAGGGAAAAGAAGTTATTCTTATATGAGAAGAGGCACATGGAGGCAGAAGGAGCCTCTTGCAGAAATATACACACATACTGGTCATTAGTTTTTTTTTGGGAAATGCGTGCCACAACCGTAAAGAAAACAGATTCATGGTGAGAATTTGGGTCAAATGCCCTCTCCCTGGCTGCAGCTGAAGCTGCCTAGAACAGGGCTGGCAGTCTGGGAGCGACCATGCCCCCACCCCCTCAGTGGGACCTCCCAACACTCTGCTAGAATGACAGATGGTTTCTTAGGGAGGCTGCACAAACTGACACACACCCAGGTGGGGTGGCCCCAGTTGGAGGGTTCCTAAGACAAGGAATGCTTCTCTTAAGGTGAAAACAATGTGGCTCCAGTGGGTGAGCACAGGGAGAGCTTCCTGAAAGGCCTTGGCCGGGGATTAGACAGTAAAAGGAACACCAATCTGGAGGGAACTATGGTTAGAGAAGCAGGGCATGGCCATGAGAACAGGTGTGCTTACAGGTGTGACCAATTCAGAAGGGATCTGGACCTGGAGCCTGTGGTCAGCTGGAGTGGACGATATTTGGAAAAATAGGAGGGTACTTCAAAAATTTCAGGGATAATGAAATTAAAAAGATGGTTTATTGTGGTGCAGAAATGTTCAAAAATCATGCATAGTTTTGTGGCAATATACCTTTCCATGGGCGTTTTCAAGCAGTTTGGAAGCCATTTAACCCCTGTGGAAAGTCCTGTGGACGTGGGGATGGCTTGAGTTACAATGAAGAGCTCAGGGAAGGTTTCCCTAGAGGACACAATGGATGACCCTTCTCTGGCTGAGCAGAAGATGTACAGGTGAAGCAGAGCAAGGAGCACCTGCAAATTCCTTAGAAGGGAGAGGCAAAGCAGGAGGACACCAGGGGACTGGAGCTGTCAGAGTGGAACGGGGACCTGGCATCCTTGGAGTTGCATGAGGGTTGAGTTCATAAAGGAGGGTGCCAAATGAGAAGCAAGAAGCTGTAGTTGAATTCTTCCTGAAAATGGGCCTGTGCTGACTTCAGGGGCGGTAGAGAAAGAAGTTCAGGTGAGGGACACACGCTGAGGGACACAAGGCCAAAACCTGGGGGATCATCCTGAGCTTTGTGATGAGCTATGGAGGCAAAGCCGTAAGCGGGAGAGTGAGGGTGGGTTTAAATGCAAGAAGCTCTCCCCTCCACAGGTAAGGTTTGAGTATGTTTCGAAGGCAGAAAAGAAAGTAATGAAATTGACCCGTTCACACTGAGAATTATGAAAGCCAACAGTGTTCAATGTAGAGGCCGGGTACTTTGCTCATGCGGGCTCATCTGTGTTTTTGCTCAGATAGCAAAGCAGCTGAACGCACGCGCACTTCAGGAGTGGATCGGCCCTTCCCACATGGTGGAAAGAGAAGTTGAAGTGCATTTGCCTCGATTCAAGCTCGAGATCCAGTATGAGCTCAATTCCTTGCTAAAATCCCTAGGGATGGCAGATATCTTCAACCAGGGCAAGGCTGATCTTTCTGGAATGTCGTCAGCCAAGGGTCTGTACCTATCAAAGGTGATCCATAAATCCTACGTGGATGTCAACGAAGAAGGCACTGAGGCGGCAGCCGCCACCGGGGACATCATCACCGTGAAACGACTGCCCATCCGATACCAGTTCATGGCGAATAAGCCCTTTCTGTTCTTTATAAGGGACATCCATTCTGAGATGATCATCTTCTGTGGCAAATTTGCCTCTCCATGAGACAGGGCTAAGTTAGGCTGAGTCACAAAGGAGGTGCAGGGGCCAAC